GGTGCTCTGGCCTGAGACAGGAACGAGGTCCCAGCTGGACGTGCCTGGTTGCGGGTCTGGTCCCGATCAGAGGACGGGGATCCCTGCTGAGCCCATGCCCAGGGGCCCGTCACAGGGAGGTACTCAGTCCTCTATGTGCGATGCACACCTGTCTTCTGAGACGCTTCCTCTGACCCTAGCCCAGGGCCCTCGAAAAGGAAGGACAACCCCAGATCGCCATGCCCACATGCTCAAACCCTGCCTGTTCTCAGATGCTGAGAGAGCCCCTGGGAGGTGAGTCAAATTACCCACCTGTTATCTCTGGTGGTGTCGTGTCATTTGTTAATGTGGTGACCCAGGATTCTGCAAGTAGCATGAGAGAGAAAACCAGCGTTAGGCATCAGCGAAAGAAGTCCTTGAGGAAAACGTTGGCGGACACCGGGATCCCACATGTGCACCTGCCGCTCGCGACCTGTGTGTCCCACTCAGCAAGGGCGTCTGGGAGGCAGGCCCTGAGGGACGGCCACCTGCTCCCTGCTCACCTCGACACCTGGCACGTTCGCGTCGCTGTTAGAAAACCCGTTCTGCCTCCCTCGCTGGGCCTCGCGGCCCCTGGCATGTCTGAGAGATTTGCCCAGACTCTGCAGCTTGGAAGGAAGGCGTCAGGGGCCGTGGTGGTGGGACCTGCAGCCCATCACGTGGCGAGGGGACCATGATCACTGTTGCCAGCCATCCCCCTGGGCACGGTCTCCATTACTTGGGTGGCCTATATGACCACGCAGAATCTCAAAGGCTGGCAAGGGTTGAGGGAGGCACAGTATTTTTCTAGTTCAAGTCCAGGCTAGAGAAGGTGAGGGCGTACCTGAGCAGATGACGCCGGCGTCCTCTCCGTGGTCACAGTTGTGTGAGGTCCAGCCTCCGGGCGGGCCGCCTGTCCCGGACCCAGGGCCCTGCCTCACAGCCGTGATGCCCTGGCCAAGAAGCTGGCCGTGGCCATGCCCACAAGTCAATCGTCATCTCGGGGAAAGGAGCTCACACGTCCCTGTTGTCCAGGTCTGAGGACGCTGCAATGTCGGGAACCACCCCGTGACCCCGGGGGATGTGAGCAGGACAGCCACCCCCATCACACGGGGCCAGACAGCTACACGACAGACACTTTCACACCTTGTTCCCAGGCAGGTGCGCTGGCCTGAGACGAGCG